CTGGTCCATGCGTAGTGCTTGATGATGTCATCTGGCGTGCTGTGTGTGGTGAGCAGCTGTGACGCCGCCGGCTTGGAAGGCGGGGAAGAAAGTCCGTGAAGAGACTGGATGATCCGAGGTTGTTGTTGAACCGAACCATCAAACGACTTGCCATCGAGGGCCGCCGCACTGACCGTGGGCAGGGAGCTGGTCGGCGTCGAAGATTGTGAGTGGTTGGCCGGAGGTGGTGTAACCAACTCTGCATCATCTTTCTGAGATGGTAACGTGGGGGAAGACGAAGCTCGTTGTGATGCCGAATATTGAGCCTGGAGCAACTCATGAGCTCGATGTAGATCATTGAACTTCTTGAGCATGTCTTCTGCTTGGGTAGAGGGCGTAAGAGTCGCGTGATGTTGGTGAAGAAACTGAAGCACCAGATTGGCCAAGTGGCCGTGAACCTTGATGCGCTGATTGAAGTCGTCAAGGTTGAGCCCCAGCGAATTGGCAAGGTCCTTTTCCAAAGTAAGCAGGCTGAGCGGCTGTGATCGTCGCAGTAGTTTTGAACTCCAAAGCAGGGCCTCGGTGCGGGTACGAAATCCTTCCCACGTCGCGAATCTCCCGTGAGCAAATGGTCGCAGTAGCCAGTTGGTAATGCCCCCGTGTATGACCTGAACCAGGCGAACATCCCGGATGTCCATGCCAGACATGTCACGTAGAGTATTGTGCGGGGTGTTGGCAACCGTCATGGGCAGGCTAAAGGAGTAGAGCTGGTTGGTGTCGAACATGCCATCACCAGGTTTCCAATCATCCGGTGGAGTAAGCCACGCTTTTTGAGGCCGAACTGGCAGCGCAGCTGGGTATCCAGGCGATGGTGTAGCTTGGGAAGAAGTGACCGGTGGTGGCATCACGGGCGTCACGAACTTAGCTGGTGTGGGCTCCGGAGGAAACGGCATCATGCAGTTGACCGGAGTATGATGAAATTGCTGCGTAGAGGAGGGGTTCGATTGATAGTTGCCTGGCGGCACCGGAAAAGCACTGGAAGTGTTGTAGCCCGAATTGTGTTGCCAGGAGACCAAGTTGTTCCAATCCATGCCATCCGAGACCTGGCTGTCATTGTGTTCACGTCTGCGTGCTTTGCGAGGCTGGGAGGAGGGACTCCGATCCCTTCTGCGCCGAGTTCTGGATCTGTCACGATCATCCCGGCGTGACATGACGAAACAGCAACACGTCCGGAAATGGTAAAGCTCGTCCTTGAGGAAGGATACAAACGACAAACCACAATCAACGACAACTCAAGACCATGTACATGCATATTCATGAATCAAAGCTCGACCACTGTGCAGTACGTCAAGTGCAGCACACAACTCGGATAATTCAAGCATGTGAGTCGGCCGACATTCCTTGCGAAAGGAAACGGCATCACAACGCAAGGCACAAAGGAATCTGCCAGCAGCGACATCCAGGATTGTGAAACTTAACTATGAAGAGGTGGCTGTCTTCCCTTTAGTGAAACCTCGTTCCTGCTTAAACGTGAAATTCCGCTGTTCTATGATAAGCACGTTGAGGTCAAATTTTCCGGCGTACCGGCCCGGGGTCACAAGATGGGTACACCCGAGGGTCCCCCACGAATGGGGTGTTCACACAGACTCCAGATGGAGGGTTCTAATCTTTCAAGTACAACTGGTAAGTCTCGGCTTGGATAAGGTTCTGCATGAATAAGTTTCGGCTCGCAATGCACTCGGTTTCCCTCTAGTGTCGAAAACGTTACAAGGTTCAACATGAAGCACACACAGCGAGAGAAACAACGGGCCAAAAAGACTTTGCACAACCATTGCAGGTACACAGCTGGACGTCTCCAACTGCTTCACCAGGGTCACGAGAGTGTCTTCGTTGGTGGCAGACTCTCGGCCCTGCTGCCACCCCCTGCAGTGGGAAAAAGTTATTGTATGGTGGCAGGGTTTTCTGCCACTCCGCACACACACACCGAGCACACCCGGCCGAATGCCACAAGCGATGCCTGGATGTCCCGTACACCATGGAGATCTGAAGGTGCCTTCTGCTGAAGCCCAGCGGACAGGTCCTGTGGCAAGCAAGTGGTCGGCAGCACTAACCACAAATTACTTGACAAGCCGTCAATACCAAGATTCGGAAAGGTCCAGCGAGCAATCCGGAAGCCTTAGCGCGTTCGTCAACCTTGAGCCAAACCCATCGTCATTATTTCCACAACCCCCTGCCCCCCCCCCCGCACTGCCGAATGGTCGGAAACCGGCCACCAAACGTCCAAAGGTCCAACCGAGACTCACAACAACCGCGCACCTCCAAGGACATCTCCCGCAGCTCTGTCAGCCCGCGGCCGCGCAGCACGTCCAGGAAGCCCAGCTCGCTGGGCTGAAGGAACAGCAACGCGCTGCCTGCCTTGCCGATGCGCGCAGTGCGCCCCACGCGGTGGAGGTACTCCTCGGTCCTGAGGAAAATTTGTTGTTGATATTTGTGTAGGAGCCAAAACACGTCTGAAACCCGGGCTTGGCGCAATATTCCGAGTTGCATTTGCCAACCTGCAACCCACCGTGCACATGCGTGTCCTTTGTGGCGGGTCATACTGGACAATCCAGTCGATGCGTGGGAAGTCAAGTCCTCTGGATGCCGCATCGCTGGCCAGAAGCACACCTCCAGCCGATTTTGCGAAGTCTGCCATGTGTCCAGCTCGCTCCTCTTTGGAGAGGCTCCCATGCAACTTGAAGATTTGCGTCTTGGAAAACATCTTGACGCGGTCGGTCTCTGTGCCTTCCTCACCCTCCTCGCCGTCATCCTCGTCTTCGTCGTCCTCGTCCTGGAGATGCTTGGCATCTTTGGCCAGCCCGATGAAGGAGCCCGAGATCTTCTTGATTTTGGGCTTGGCTTCCCTCCGCGAAATGCCGCCGCGCGGCGGCCAGCTGGCATCTGCCAGCAGGTCGCAGTGGAAGTCCACAGAGGCGCCCGTGGAAAGAAAAACGATGGACTTCTTCTTGCCCACCCGCAGCAGGGCGGCCAAGAGCATGGCAAGCCGTTCTTTGCCCGGCACCACGCAGTACCATTGCGTCAGCGTGGAGGGCGCCGCAAAGTTCAGCTCGTTGCCCACCGACACCGTGCCGCTCGCGCCGCTCGCGCCGCTCGCGCTCTCGACGCACCCCTCCGCATCGGCCCAGAAAGCCTTGGGGCGAAGACAGAAGTTGGCAAGCCTCGGCTTCGCAACGTGCGCAAACTGGACAAGCTCATTCATGTCATTCACTCTCCAGGGATGCGAACAAGTGGCTGCTGCACAGCTGGAACCAAAGTTGCTGAAACCAGCATGGATTGAACTGAGCCTTCGCCATTCTCCCCTTCCTGGCACCGCACATGCATCAGCAATCCGACATCATGGCATGAAAGCTGCACTTTGTCCGGCCTTTGCTTCTTCCATCAGCTTCTTGTGGATGGATCGAATTTGCGGCTCGAAACCCATATCCAGCAGCCGGTCTGCTTCATCAAGCACCAGGCACTTGATATTGCGGACCTTACTTGCCACGTCTGTAACATTGCTACTACAACCCTTACCCCCTCTTTGCCTCAGCGAAATATGCACACACACACGCACACACGAAGCTGCTGGGATAGCCATTTGCCGACTTGGCGCAACGAAGGTGGCAGTGTGCTCCAAGTGGTATGCCAAACGGCCGGGTGTGGCACACAAGACCACCAGGCCTTTCCGCAAGCGCGCCTTCTCACTTTTGGGCTTCTCGCCACCTGAGCTTTTTTTGCCAGAGCATCCTTTCGGAAAGCAGACATGAAAGCAAAAGAGTCGAGACACATCCAGAGTTGAAGAACTTTCTGGGACTTTGCGACTTTGCCGACTTTGCCGATGCCCTGCCTGCCACAGCTCCGCAAACCACCGAGGGCAGCATCCGCGCCAGATCGGAGGCCACTTTCAGGGTCTGCAAGGCCAACTCTTTGGTCGGTGACAGGATGGTCGCCAGCGTCCCCTTCCTGGCGACGCGCGCCTCCCACATTTTCCACATGTGCCACATGCTACCCTCAGCCCAAACTGGAATCCACACACCTCCGGAACAAGCCCAGGCTCCTCCTGTCGATGCCGCCTGGCACCTTCAAGAGCTGATGGAGCACCGGCACCAGAAACGCTAGCGTCTTCCCAGACCCCGTCGGGGCCCGCAAGAGGAGGTCCTTCTTCCCGGTGACTGCCCGTGGAACTGCCAGAGCTTGGATCGGGGTGCAGTCGTTGAACCCCAAGTACTCCAGCTGTCGAAGCAAGGATTCATGCAGCTTTAGAGCTGTAAACTTGGTCTCTGAAACCACGCCGCTTGCTTTTAGGTCTGGATCGTCCTTTGACATCTTGGGCTTCTTGGGTTTCGGAGACTTGCCCAGCACGGCACCAGGCTGTCCTTTTGCCTTCCTCTTGGCTGGCCTGGGCTCTGAGGCCTCTTGCGCCTCCTCCTTGGCCTCCTTAGCCTCCTTGGCCTCCTTGGCCTCCTTGGCTGCCTTAGCCGCCATGGCCACCTTGAGCATGGTCTCCTTGGCTCTTGGCTTGCTGCCCTTGCCCTTAGCCTTGCCCTCAGCTCGGGAGCCCTTGCCTTCATTGGATGTCTTAGATTCGGCATCTTTCCATTTGGATGCGCTGGCTTTGCCTTTGCCTCCTTTGGCTGTCTTCCGTGGCTTTTGTGGGCTGACTGCTTTGAGCGCGCGAGCCGCAGCAGGCCCAAGGCCAGTGATGTTGATGGACAGGTCGTCCATGGCGTCAGCCCATGACGCGGAATTGCTCTTTCAGGGCACCCCAGTCGCATGCTGGGATTCTGGATGCATAAATGATTTGTGTATATACATATACGTGCATATACACATGTCATAAATGTACCTACACTCCATGTGTTTTGAAGATGGACGATCTGACAAGCACAGCGCATCTGAAAGAAGAGAAGCATCTAAGCTGCGCAAGCCTCATGCTCCAAGATGCGTCATGGCACTGGGCCCGCCCCATGTCTCTGATTCGCCTCCATTGCGGTTGGTTCTTCTGAAGGCGTGCGAACCTGAGCTGCACGCTCTGAGTCGGCACCTTCAGATTCGCACTGGGCCCTTCGCCCATACACGCCGTTCCTTCCCTTCGTCTTCCACATCCAAGCAGGTCACAACCTGCAACGCAAAGCCCAAAGGTCACTGACTTGGAATCGATTCGCCAGCTGGAAGCGGCGTCCTGTGCTTCGAAGGCGTCTGGCCGCAACTGCGGGTCCAAGGATGTGATCTCCAGACCTGAAGGGACTCAGATTCCAGCATGAAACACAAACATGAGCGTTGACCACGCCATGTTTGCTGCGCAGCTGAGTTTGCTGCTTTGCAATTGCTGGTCGATGTCTTTCGCCTGGGGTCTCTGGACAGTTTGTTGCCCTCCATCGCCCTCTACCATTTGCCCCTTTGTCGTACCTGCTCGGGCCGCACCAGTTCTCGCTCCACCTGCGTCAGCTCGAAACTTTCACATAGGCGCTGGGTCGCGCAGGTCGCCTTGAGCTTGGCTCGGCGCCGCTTGCTGCGGGCCTGGCCCGTGCACATCCAAGGCCAAGACAAGTGGATGGCAAATGAATGAAAACAAGATACAAAAGATACACCTGTGATTCATGTGACTGGATTTTGTTGGCCTCCGTGATGGGCGACACGTGCTTGGCCTCGGTGACAAAGGCCCGACAGCGCAAATGGGATTGCATCAGATTGAGGTCCTCGAAAAGCTTGAGGAGCGGGTGAACGAAAGCTAGCAGTTGTTGCATGAGATGGGTCGGTGACAGAGTGGATTCATAGGTAGCTTGTGTACAACGAGAGTCCCGGCAAGATTCGTAGGATGCGACACGCAAACGCACATGGTGGCGTGGCAAACCTTGAAAAATGAAAACAACGAGAGGCGTCAGAAGCTGTCTTAAAGCACCTCTGGGTTCTGCATGCTGCGTGTGCAAAGATTCTTGCGAGGTGGTTTACTGAGAAGACTGAGGTCTCAAATGAACAAGCTGAATCGGTGGAACATGTAAAAGTTCGTAGCACCAAGTCCAAAACGGGCAAACCGAGACTGCTGAAACACTGAGCCACTGCCCGGGGGGAGGGGTGGACCGAGGAGGAATCGAGCCTGAGACGGGGGGGGGGGAAATGTAGAAAAGGCTTGTCCTAGGGGGTGGGGGGTAGATGGTTGCCTATTCTGTTTTTATTTCACAATGCAACACGTGTACCACCTTATTCTGTTTTTGGGGGGCATGAAAGAACGTTATGGTTGTGGTAACGAATTGATGATTTGGTCCCCTGTCTCGTTCCAGATTTCAACTTTTAGTTTTATTGATTGAAAGAGGTTAGGACTTTCTGTGGTTTCATGGGTTGGCTTTTGGGCGGGTCTTCTGGTTTGGGTTCGAGCACTCCGCTAATTCGGTCGTTCACCCGCGCTTCGTGTTCATCCACCTCTTCTCCGTGTAATCTGTCGGGATACTCAGTCTTCAGAGCGTCAGCGTTGTTTTCGACAAAAGCTTGGACAGAGAGCATCGAGACATTCAATCAACGACTTGTCTTGGATGAGGCTTTTCCAAAGCAATTCAAAGCTCAAGCATTGACCTGTTGCCCTCTTACTTGCTACACAATGGCACCAAAGAAGCAGGGCGGTTACAATGGTAAGAACAGCAAGGATGGCAAGAACAGCAAGGATGACAAGAACCAGCAGGCTCACGAAGAGACAGTGCGTGACCCAGAGGCTCGAAGCTCCACAGACCCCATCTTCAACCCGTTTGGTGACACCAGCCCAGAGGCGCTGGAAGCACTGTGTCAAGCATTCAGCGGGCTCACTCTTGCAGAGCAACTGACAGTGGCGCAATCCTTCGAGTCAGCGACGAACAACATAAAGGCTCGCAAGGGCAAGGTCAAGTCGGTCAAGCAGGTTCAGATCAAGATCGCCGCTGCCAAGAAGGAGAAGGACATTGACAAGACCAGCAAGCCGGTGTCCGAGAAGTTCTTGAAGACTAAGATTAAGCTCCACGTCCGTTTCGATGACCAGACCTTTGAGATTGAGGTGTTCCTGAGTGATCGCCTGGGCACACTGCGTCGGATGCTGTGTTATGAGTTAAAATTGAAGAAGGACCAGAAGTTGCAGTTCTTGCTCAACGGCGTCCCGCTTCCGAAGGTGAAGGGCATCAATGGAGTGATGAAAGTGGCTTGCGCCACAACCTTCTTGTACTCCTTGGGTTTACAGAACGACGACGAGATTACAACGTCCTTGGACAACACCGAGCAGGCGGAGGTGGAGGAGGAGGAAGCGATTGAGGACATTGAGCCCAACACGGACTCGGACAATGATGACGATGATCAGTGAAGACATTGAACAGAACCCTTGAACTCACTGTGTCTCAATCGTAAGAACTTTTCTCAATGTGTTTGTTGAAACAACTCCCACAGCTGTGTCACTAGAAAAGCCGATATCGAGACCAGACTACGTTCCAGTGTAGCGATGTTGCTGACTGTAGCATTCCCGCACAGAAGAAAAAAGGACATTGTCAAGGGTCGTGTTTTTTTTGATGGAGGATTCAGAGTGTGAGATGTCCGACTTGAGACTGACCTTTTGACTGACTTGCCACTGATGACATCCGCAGTTTTGATTTTCCCGCTCATCAAACTCGATTGCTCCACCACACAATGCCGTCGGTCATTTTCATTGACAAGGGCATCTCCACAGGTCTCGCTCCCTTCTTTGTGAGGACTGGCGATGTCGTCACAGAAGACACACCCGCTTGGACTCCAACCAAGCAGAAGCTGATGGAACTCACAAAGGATGAGTTGATGGCCCTAGTGCCTGAGAATGTCGATGTCAAGGCAAAGACGACGAAGGGAGACATTTGCGAATTCATCCTATCGAATTGGTCGTTTGTCATCAACGAGGCTAAAGCCTGTGGTGGTAAAGGTGGTGGTGAAGAAGGAGACAAAGACAGAGGACGAGACGATGGCAAAGAGCAGAAAGGGAGAGACAACGATTTCGACGACATACCTTTCCCTTCTCAACCTGATGATGGCGACTTGGTCATCTGTGTCCAGAGGACTTTTAGAGACATCTTATTCCGCAACTTCACTCTGAACAAGGACGACAGCGTTGCCACTCTGAAAGGTTTGCTCTATGGTGCTTGGAGTGTCCCTACACGCCATCAACGTTTGGTGTTCAACAACAATGACCTATCAGATACAATGTCCTTGAATGAGTCTGGCATTGAAGATGGGTCGGTGGTCTATCTCTTCATCAGAGGTGTCGGTGGAGGGTTTGCTGGTGGCATCCCGGTTCAGAAGGAGTGGCTCAACAAAGACGTCGCAATGGTGGAGCTCAAGAGGAAACAAACCAAGACCTACACCAGCGACGAGAAGCTCAACATCCCATCAGATGCTTTGCCTAGCAAGTTTGTGGAGTTCCTTGACGAGCAGAAGAGCAAGTCGGACGAGCTTGTCCTGATGAAGACACGCCTCGGGAACAGTTTCATTCGTACCATTTTGAAGCAGATGTCGAACGAGAACTTGCGCACGATGAAGCAGATTTTCACTACGAACCGCCAGCGTGGTGAGAAAAACCTCACGAATGAAGAGAAGGTTGTCAAGGCGATGACCATCATCAATCCTCAGATGGAGAGCATCAACAAATGTGTCAAGAAGCTACAGTTTGTCCAGTCATCCTTGCTGACTGAGTCGCTTCATTTGTTTCTTGATGAGTATCACTCCTATAACGAACAGAGTGGCTCAATTGCTTTGAACCTTCAAGGGTTTGTGTCTGCGGTTGAGAGGGAGCTTGAGCGTTGTGAAGACAACGACCCAAGCGTGAACAATGAGATGGCTCAAAGGAGCTGTGTGTTCCAGTAGGAGGGAGTGCCACACCAGAAATCAGGGGAACGCCCGCCCCTAATTAGGGGAACGCCCGCCCCAAATCAGGGGAACGCCCGCCCCAAATCAGGGGAACGTCCACATCAAATAAGGGTATTTCATTGCTTTCGGTGGCACTCTCTCAAAAGGACTTTGGTCAAGGACATTCATGAACAGGTCAATTGACCATCACATACCATTTTGCGAATGATGTAAAAAGACGGTCTTTGGAACACTTGAAAGGCAGGCTTTGAAGGATTGGAGGTTCTGAGGATGGATAGGTGTGGTGTCCCTTTTCTCACGATAGTCCCCGCATCCGCTCCGTGCCGAGGCCAAGAAGTCAACGACATCATCAACTACCACACTGCGAACTTATAGGTTGAGTTTCTTTTCTGTTTTTTCATTTTATTTTTTGGTCTACCCCTAAACCAATCAACAAGGGAAACTCTCGCCAATTTTCTGTGTCAATGTTTGTCCCCATACCCAATTTTCAAGGTTTCTTCCCTTTCGATCCTTCAACTACACTTTCTGAAAACCCACCAAAACAGGGGCATAATCCACCATTTCCCAAATCATCGAAACCCAAAAAATCACAAAATCCATTTCAAGCTCATCACCAACGACCCCAATTTCAAGTTTCAAGCCCAAGCCCAAACCCACCCCTTTTATCCATCCCTGTTTGTCAGAAGGTCCGCCTCCAACGACATCAAGGACGCTCATGACGCTGGTTGCTTGTAATGCTTAATCCCCCCTTCTATCAAACAAACTAACAAATATATCACTAATCAAATCAGTAGGTATATCACTGTTGATGTTAGCATTTTTCAAATCCAAGGAAATCACACTGTAGCCCAAATCACGAGCGACCATACCAACACTGCCTGTACCACCAAATAATTCTAATAATTTCATATTATTAGAATTATTTAGATATTTATTTTATGGAAAAGTGATAATGACTTTGTCATCATATTACTCAATCTCTAATTGAGTAATGACCATACGGGATTGAATTGAAAGCATCAATATAAAACCATTTATTTTCATAATTACTGAGTGATTGCTTGACTTGAGACATTGAATATATTTGGTGTGTTTTGCTCCTGATGAAGTTGTAGGAGATTTCGTGCTTTTTGTTGTGATGCAGTGCTTCATGATAGTTTTGATATGTTAATTCCTTTTTAACCTTGTGCTTGACGACACCTTTGGATTTCTTGTGTTCCTCATCCTCGCCGTGGATTGTGAAAGCATAGGATTTAGGTTTCAACCCGATGAATCTAGTAATGATTTTTCCATTGACTTCATCTTTGTACATTCCTAAGACCTTCTTATTTGTTGCGTCATGGCATGGATGTTCAACAGGATAATCACTAAAATCCATATGTTGCTTGATACCTTGAAAATCCTTGTAGATATCATCCGTGAAGGTTTGAATTACATAACTGTCAGTATCTGTATATATCAATTTGATATTTTCGTTGTATTTCTTTTTCAACACACCATAGTAAAACTCATACATATGTAATTTACTCAAATCCAATATTGTCATTCCTAAGAATATGGGTTTATCCAATTTCAGTTTAGCTTTAGTTTTCTCCACTCCTACCAGATGTTCATTAATGATAAATCTATTTTTGAATGTTGGATTATTCACACATTTTTCATACCTAACATCATTACCTACCAGTTCAAAATCCATATGTTTTCTTTTGTCTTCCATAGTTTTTCCATACACCGCGTTATTCATTAATTTGAACAGGTCTTTCTCAAAGTCGCTCTTCGCTTCTTTCCTTTTACCAGTGTT